CTGTCCTTAAGAATTTTTATTTTTTATTTTTCAAATTCTTTTTACAAATTTTAAATGAGTACTAGTGTCGTTTTGTTTGTTAGTTTTACCAATAATTTTTGTGTTAATTTGTTGTTTAGGGTGTATGGTAGAATAAGGAGCATTTAATTTAGGCCTATGTTTTTTCTTAGTTACATAAAAGGTTTGTGTAAGATCTATTTCAGGTACGGTTTCCGCACTTTCGTTTTGTTTTTATAATATTTTCTGTCTTTTTTTCTTTTTGTTTGTTGTATAAGTTAGTTCTGAAAGGACAAAGTTCATCCTCATATCTTTGAGTATATGTTTCATACAGGGGAAGCTCAAAATCAAATGTATTTCTTCCGCATATGGTTCGTATAATATTGAAAAAGGAGAGTAATTTGTGGCACTATGAATTGATTGGTTATAGATTAATATTGCATGTGTAAATGTGTCGCCTAAGGGGTCTTGTTAAACAAATTTCACATTTATTAGTGTGGTTAGAAATAGGGCCAGTTAAATGTTTATAAGTCTCTACTATGCCGTTATGATTTTCATTATGATACTTTTGTACACACTCTATTTGTTTTTGTTCGTTTTCGATGTCTTGTAATAATGTGTTGCAAAATATAGCTTTAACAGTTGTGTCTATGTATTCACGAAAATATTTACAAACAGAAGGTCTAAATTTTTATAGCAAATTTTTAATTTGGCCTTAGTAAACTTTTGAATGCGTCAGGAATTTCCATTATCCAGTCATCGATAATTGTTACAGTGTGTCTGTGTTTGTTAAACAATTTTTTATAAGTCATGTCATACTCTTTAGATTGAGGGCAGAGATAATTTGATTTGTTGAAATGTTAATGGGTTCTTCCGAAATTGGAATTCCCGCAATTGGATTTTCTGCTGCAGTGAGTTGCGTGTTATCGGTACTAGGGTGTTGTCTATCGTTTAATTGTTCGAGAAATTCGTCGAGGTCAAAGTCATTGAGATTTGGGGTTCGACACACATAGAATTGCCGGTGAGTGCATTTATCTGTACTCCAGAAAGGGCGTCGCCTACTTGATTTTCTTTCAAGTTTTAGTCTCCAGCGTGCTAATCTGGAAGTGGGATCTTTAATCTTATAAAGCCATACAAGAGGATTATGGTCAGATTCAACAGTGAAATTTTGAGCGTATAGATATGGGCGAAAATGTTTACAAGAATAGAATATTGCTAATAGCTCCTTTTCGGTTGTTGAATAATTTTGTTCAGCGGAGATCAAGGTTCGAGAATAATAAGCGATTGGGTGATTATCTTGTGTTAATACTAAGCCAATGGCTATGTTAGAACCATCAGTAGTTAGAACAAAATGTTTAGAGAAATTTGGGTATTGAAGAACATGGGCATTGGATAATAGTTGCTTATATTTTTCGAAGCATTCGAGATAAAGTGGATTATTGGGGTCGATAACTGCTCCCTTTCGGGTGCAACGAGAAAAAGGGGAAGTAATTTTTGCAAAGTCTGGGATAAATCGTCGATAGGATCCTATAACTCCTAAGAAGGATATAATTTCTTTTAGGAGTAGACATTTCTGAATAGCCTTTAGTTTAGCGGGATTTGGTTTTATACCTTCGGGGTTACTATGTGTCCAAGAAAAGCTACTTCTTTTGTAAGAACTTCGGACTTGTCAAGCTGTACCTTTAAATTCATTTTTTGAAATGTTTTAAAAATAGTTGCAATATGTACGAGGTGTTCCTGTAGTGATTTTGTAATTATAATTACATCGTCCATATAAACAAAACAACATTTGTAAAGAAAAGGCCTAAGGGCGTTCTCCATTAATTTTTCGAAAGTGGTAGGGGCATTTTAAGCCCAAATGGCATCCTCACAAATTCGAAGTGTCCGTGAGGAACTGTAAAAGCTGTTTTTTCAATAGAGTTGAGGAGAAGTTCGATTTGGTGAAATTCCTGCGCTAAATCAAGAGTTGTAAAATAAGTTGCTTTGCCTAAATTGTCTAAAATTTCATAAATTTTCGGCAGAGGCTATTTGTCATCAATTGTATTCTCATTTAATTTACGATAGTCTATTACCATACGGAATTTTTTCTGGCCGGAAGCGTCGGTTTTTTTTTTTTTGGTACTATCCAAACAGGGGCTGAATAGGGTGACATTGAGGGTCTAATTATTTTATTATCTAATAATTTATTAACTTGTCTGGTCATTTCTTCTTGTATTACCTTTGGATGTCGAAATCCTCTAACATAAATAGGATTTTTATCCCGTGTCCTAATTGAATGCTTTATAGCTGGAGTAAAAGTTAAGTCTGATTTTTCGTCATAAAAAAATGTCTTTATATTTCTTGCATAATTTAAATTTTTTTTTCTTTTTCCTCTGAATTTAAATGTTGAGTACGAATTATTGAAGGGTCAAAATTTATCGGACCTTCTGAAATTTCATAATTATCTAAATTTTCTACTTGTATTGGTTCTAATTGTTCGGGGCTAGGGAGGTAAACGTTGTCTTTATAACCGTTTGTAACAGTGTGGATTGGTTCAGGAATTTGTATGTTGTTTATTTAAATTTCGGGGAAAAGTATTTCGCCACTAATTATATTAACTGGGATGTTGTTATATAAGGTGTCGAAAAGGATGATAATATCAAAAGCTCTTAATGTCAGTGTTTTAGTTTGGTAGTCTATTAATGCGCGTAAACGTTCTAAATCATAGTTTCCAAGTAAAATATCAAAATGTTTACTCCAATCAGCAATTCAAGCATCGATAGTTTCATAAATGTTAAATTCTTTAAATAGTGTTTTAATATTTGACAAAAATGTTTGAGTAATTTTCATTGACGTTAATGTAAATGGTTTTTTATATTTGTGAGTTGGATCAAAATATGTCGCAGCTTTTGGTAATAATAGTGTGTGAACCTCCTGAATCAATAAGTACTTTTAGTCTTGTTTTAGGCATAATAAAATAGGGTAACTGGGAAAAATTATGAATATTATTTGGGTCTATTAAGGCGGCGGTTGTCCTTCTGGTAAAGCGACCGAAAAATTTTCCTGCTGAAAATTTTCTGTCCCGTCATCTTAATTTTCTGTATCATTAGATTCAAAATTTCCTGGCTTAGTTTCGGAATTTTCATCCCTGGAAGTATATATGTTAAAATTATGCGGCCTTCTAGTAGATAAACGCATGGGTTGATTTTTTGTAGTAATTGTTTGGGGGTTATTTCGGAGAGACGAATTATTGGGAAATGAGGATGAATTATTAAAATTTTGAGTGTTACTTCTGAAATTCGAATTTTTTCCGAATTGTGACGAAATATTAAAATTTTGATTATTTCTATAAGTAAAAGTATATGGAGGTTTATTTTGTGAAAAGTTTGTGAAAGTTGGTTGAAAATTACCCTGCGAGTGTGAAAAGTTAGGTTTATTGTATTCAGGCTTGTACGAGGTTTGTTTAATGGGATTAATTCTTTGTTTTGGATTTTGCTGACCTTTCAGGAACTTCATATATTGTTGTTGACTCTTATGATTATCGTAAGTAATGCATTTTTGAAAGCCCTCTTCAAGATTTTCAATTCTGAAATGCTACAAATATTCACAATATGGTTCATTTATACCTGTACAAAAAGTTTTAAGAGCAATGTCTTTAAAATAAGGGGTTTTTAAATTTAATGTTTCAGGTTTGTCATTTAGTGATATGTGTAATCATTTAAATTATCGCACACTCTTTGGTGATAACTGTGTTACTAAAATGTCTTCAGAACGTCTGTCGCCGTATTTTGCCAAAAGAGCAGCTCGAATTTCAGTCCAAACTGTTTTATTAGTAAAACTTAAATAGTCTCTAGGTTCACTCTTGATACTAGAAGCAATATTAGCATTTAAAATAAATTCTTGTGGTTGGGTTAGATTTTAATTAGATAAGAATACAATTAAATTATGTACTGATTTAATAAATATGGAGAGGTTATCTCCTGTAGAAAATTCAAGTTAAGTAGCACAAAGGCCAGAAATATCACTATTAGGCGTAGGCATTTCTGGGCAAAGAACGTTTCGAACATTTTCAGAAGGATTCTGAGAAGGTTGCGAACTATTCGCTTAAGCAGAAATGTTGGTAGTCTCTAAATTGAGACCGGATAATAATATGTGTAAATTTTGTTCGGAAATATTATCAAAAGTGCTCATAGAAAGGATAAAGAAAAATTGTACTCACAAAAGAATGATCACTGAAGATATCCTCTGCATGCTACTTCTTCCTCTCGTCCTAGGTTCGGTGGATTTTTCGTTAAACAACTAAGTGGACCAGGAAAAGTGAATTTTTCTGTACAAAGAACCCTGTTCGCAGCGCCAGTTAAGTTAAAAACAGTTTTCAAAAAAAAAAAGCACAAACTTTATCTATTAAAAATGTACAAAAAATGGTAAAAACTGTAAAACAATGTTTATCGTTATACGATTAAAATAAAAAGAACGTTAATTCCAACGTTGACAACGTATTTATAACCTCGGGTCCATCGTCGCCAAGGTGCAAAGCGCTAACTTTGTTGATGAAGCACTCCGGGCAATGAACGGTGGGTTTCTATCACATTTCTATATGATCCTTTTTATAGTTTTGGCATCTTTTTGGCAAGCTTTCTACCTATTAATATGGCTCTTTTAATATTTTAGGTATCTTAATAATAGTCTCAAGCTTTTAAGCAAGCTACCTATGTATATGATCCTTTTTATTTTTTTTGGCATCTTTTTGGCAAGTTCTCTACCTATTTATAGGGCTCTTCTTTAAATTTTTACTTAAATGCTTAACGGCTCTAATTTTTTAAGGAGGCTGATTTTATTTAAATATACTAAATACAAAGGATAGGTTTAATGGGTAAGTATTGAAAAATACTGTTTCATGCTCTCAATCATTTTTGATATTTATTTAACAGATTGTTTAAATTAAATTAAAATACTACCAACAAACAGTATGACGAGTAATACGATACGGGTCACCTAAAAATAATATAAATTTACATTTATTTTTATTTCACATTGTTGACTAAATAAAACAAATACTCATTAAAAACCCCAAAGAACTGTATTAAGAACAGTGTCAAGAGTACGCCTTTTTTATAATCCATACGAAAAGTTTTAGATACACGCTTCCTAGTCACAATATCTTTGGCGCTGCTATTTCTGGTTATTTGATCATAGACTAATTTAATTTCAGTACGAGGGTTGTTAATAGCCTCTAACATACCCCTATTATTCAACACCTCAGAGTTCTCATAATTCAACGTAGAACCTTTTATCTTTGTAACTTTTTTACCCTTTAACGTTTTATAATAATAGCTTTTCGGGCCTGTAGATAACCTTTCAACTATATGGTCATCCTCACCGATCTCATCGGACGATTCACCCAAAATTTCACCGGTTTCAACAGTATTTACGCCATCAATATAAACAATTAAGTCCGCAACAGCTTCCCCTAATTTATCAAGCATTTCATACAGCCTTAACCGAGCATTAGCCGTTGTAAATATCGCTACATATGTATTTGTAGACGTAGAATCTTCTACAAATATTTCTTTGTATTTATATGTAACCTGAACAACATTATCGTTGATATAGATACAACTAGATATCTCTATTTTATTGTCAAGTAATATTTCATGCCACCATTTAGGATTTATGACGTAGTCATATTGCATCTATGGGCGAATTTACCCCATAGCGAATTTAAAACGATTTTTGAAATAACACGATGGCCTTGATTATGGTTTATTTTCTCGAGATCAAGATCAATACCTATTTGGCTTTTAGCAGCCCGAGCATAAGCCTCATTAAATTCATACTTGGCCTCTAATTTTATTTTCATAATGTCATGTATATACTCTTTAAATAAGTCCGATGATGTTTTCTCAAAGTGCCACACCTCGTCTATTTTTAAGACTTTCTCAATAACTTTATTAAGTTCCAATGTCGACCACGTACCTGTAAACATTATCTCACCGTCTGTATGAATGCACTCTTCTAATTGTCTGACAAACAACCACGGCATAAAACAAATGGTAGTTCTGTTTTAACAAGTGACACAGGGTGATAAAGCTTTCTTGGTGGTAAATCAGTGCATTTTACTAAACCAAACCATAAAGGGTGGTACTCTGTAGGGTTGTACATTTTTGTAGGGTGTCCTACAAGAAATTTGTCATAATATTGTACAGTGGGGTACAAACACAACACATCAAAATATCTACATTTCCTACCGGACCCTTAATTTAGATGCATTCTTTCTACCACCAAAGAAGCTTTTTCGAGGGTTTAATGGCTCATTAATTATAACAGCTGTTTTGTGTTCTGGTGTTTTTAACCAGTCACACTCCCAGATCTCCACTAGATTGTAATTACCCTCTTTTATATGCTTACTTTTACGTGTATTTTTTTTATAAAGATCCTCCATTGTATCAAAATTTATATTATTAACTGTTGAAGGGCTGAATCATTTAGGACAGCCATGCCAGTAGCATCCATGAAACTGATAAACAGTGTTTGTTTCCTTATCATATCCATCAACCTTTGCACCGCATACATGTACATATTTCACCGCCGTTAAGGGCATGTCTTACATTAGGGAACTGATTCAACCACCTAATGGATGCCTGACTGTATGTATCTTTTTTTCAGTCTCTACAACGGCTATGGTATTTTCAGGTAAATATTTTGCCCTGTAAATAGTCATGCATACTGAAGCAATTGTTAAATACTGGAAAAGTACTATATTAGCCATTTCTAAAAATTTTGTTCGAAATTCCACGCACCCTCTTCGTAATATATCGACGTTTGAATCACAATAGACGTTAATTTTCTTTTCAAAATCAAAGATATAATTCTCGCTTACTCGTTTACCATGTTATGTGAGGATATCAGTTATTTGAGATTTTTTCATCGTGTTTGAACCATAAAAATCTACACCAGGTATGGGCCCAACATATTGTTGGTTTCCAGGTATTAAAATAATGGGGGAAATAACCTTTCTATTTGATATCCTCTTAGATATAGTGCCCTTGGATTCTGGAGTGCTACACATTCAGTTAGGATGTGAATGAAGGTTTCGTCCTCCTCCTCACATAATCTGCACTCACTATCCTCTACTACTCTCAGTTTACTTAGGTGTCCTTTTAGTCGGCAATGCCCGGTAAGGTTCCCTGTTACAATACGTAGCCTGTTCTTGCTTAGGCAGATGCAGGTTATATTCACCCAGAAGTATCTTGGCCTGTCTCAGCCCCAAGAGATTTTTCCAATCTTCGGTTCTTCTACTGTCCAATTCTATTTTAATATCTTCTAATATTATGTTACTGCTGATACCGCAGAACGGCTCAGGTCCTACAAAGAGTGTTTGAGCCCCTTTTCTTGCAAGACTATCTGCAAGAGCTCAGCGCTTTTATGGCTGCTTGACTATCGGACATAATGACAATCTCTTGTCTATGATAGTTTCTCTCGATGTTAAACTGGATACACTTCTCGATGGCGTGAATTTCCGCATGGAAGATGCATGGGTATTTTCCCAAGCTTTCGGAATGCTTAGTTCTTGGTCCATACACTCCTATTTCAGTTCCTTCTATGGTTTTGGAACCGTCCTTATACCACTGAATAGCACGTTTTTCGGTTGCAAGCGCGATGGATTCTTGTCTCCATTTTTTCTTGCAGCCCTGCTCTGTGGTTTTGCCAAATTCTCTCTCATCAAATGTAGAGGGGTGAGGTTCAAGATTACCTCCATTATGGCCTTAGGATAGGTTCTCATTACACCAGTAATGCAAACACAGGCTAGTCTTTGCAGTTTTGAGATATTAGCTCTCGTAGTAGCTAAACTAATTCTGTTACTCCAGGCTATAGCCCCGTAAGTGACGATTGGTCTCACTATTGCTGTACGCATCCATCGCAGTATGTTTGGGTTACATCCCCATCGTTTACGTGCAATGCTTCTGCATACCATTATGGCTTTTGTGACCTTATTTACTACTTCATTCTCATGTGTGTTCCATAGAAGTTTGTTGTCCTGAATTAGGCCTAGATATTTGACTTCGTTTTTCCATTCTATATATATCCCATCTAATTTAACGGCACCATCTTTTGATATGTTCTAGTTCTCGTTGGACTATATCACACAGAATATTTCTAAACTTGCCTCTAGCAAATATGACTATGTCGTCGGCATAACCTTGAGAGGAAATGTCGAAGTCAGTCAATCTGTATAGAAGTTCGTCCACAGTTAGGCTCCACATTAGTGTGGATATAAATCCTTCTTGTGGACATCCTCTGGGTGTGCAGGTGGAGATGGTGTATGAAAAACTTATAAATAACATAATAATTATTTTTATATTGCAGACTTGATGAAGATTTATTTAATGATCTGTGAGTATAAAATGCTTATTGTTAATTTAAGTAAATGCTTAATACTAAATTACACTTCTGAAGATGATCAGCAGGACATCCTAAATATAACGGGGCCTCCAGAATTGTATGTTATGTAAATACACATTTACCAATTAATAAAATTGTAAATTTTCAGCTTAAAACAACCATAGGAATATCCACTACATAAATCCCCTAAACACCCAACTTCCCGGCTGAGAAAGTCACTAGCGTTCACGTCACCTCAGCTGTTAACAATAAAATGTAATAATATTATTAACATTATTAGATTTTATTTAACTGATTGTGACACATCCTTTCTTTACCATAAATCATTCTTCTGCGGGTATACATATGGTATGCATAACCATATAAGCGCTGGTAAATACTGTAGCAGAGTTTTTCGCGCGGTCCTGGCAAATATAAAAGTGCTCTTTAACGACCCTTTACGTAAAAACTGTATTTGCATTATATCACCTATAGAGTAAGTAACCACTCTTTAAAGTCACTTCTTTCGTATACATCGTTTCGGCTACATTATACGTTACATATATGGTCGAACCGATTCGGATAGGCATGTAAATAAGTAGCCTTAGATCACCATCTGCATACAACACAATAATAATTTTAAGTAAATATTTAACCATCTTGCAACTTTCAAAAAAAACTCAAATAAAACTTTATAGATTGATCAAGCCGCTATATAGCTACGCGATTATCATTTTAAAGAACATTTTGAAAATTTCCCAGGAATAAAAGGAAGTTGTGGTTTATAAAAGATAATAGGTTATTTCGATTTTTTCATCATCTTGCCAATAAAAAATTACAGTCGCATTTAATATGATAACTTTGCCAATAAAAGTATGGCTGGGACTTAAAGGACCTTGCATTTGCTTTTTCAAACGCAATGGGTAAACATAGATCATCTCATATTTTTTTAATATGTTTGTTTCAGAGCCTAATTATATAGCGAGGCAACGCCTGCTGCAACCATTTGTTGTAAGTATTTTAAATAGAGCAGAAGAAATATCTGTTTTTTTATTTTTTCAGTACCGCCCCATAGCCATACTAATAGCTATGACACCGTACCCAGGGCATAGATAATAATATCATCTGGGGACATACCGAGGCCTAAGATAGTGGTACGACCCGAACGCTGAGGCTGTGGCAACCGTGCTGTTGGTTTTAATGTACGTAGCCTTATATATTTATTATAATAATTGTTTATGTAATTAAGTCATGTTATTATTTATTTATGTAATAGTAATTTCGATTTTATTTTTCAGGCACTTAAAAAGACACCGCTTTTCATCCCCACCTACCCTTGTAAATCCTTTATCCACCCCAACCATCCTAACCCGACAGAATCACTACTTACGTGCTTGTCGTTTTGTTGCTAAGAGTAAATATATTTTATTAAGGGTTTACCCTTAATAAAATATTTTTATTTGACTGAATAATAGTATAACCCATAACTTGCTTGAATAGGGTGCCAACTTATGTAGAGCTCTGGAAACACAGCGAAGTATTATATAGAATTTAAGAAAGCTATGTCCTAATGTAAAATTTACAAGCATTAAAAAAATATGGATGTGGTTTGATAGACCAATTGGCATGAGGTACGGCAATGTAATATATAAAGGAGTGAATTCGTTATTATACTGGGGTCGACGGTACCACGTCTGCTCTGTTAGAGTCAGTGAATTAGGATATCGCCGCCACTGGGGCCGACTGTACCACGTCTGCCTGTTGCAGTGTTCAGGACCAGGAGAGAGCGGGGACTTGACTTTCGACCAGCCGAACGCAATGAAGTGATAGGCCTTATACCCTTTAAAGACATTCTTTATTTTGTTCCTTAATTAATTACATTTCAAACATTGTTTATGAGATATTTAATAAAACGTTATTAAACCATGTTAACACGTGTTTTATGAAGTGGCTATACAGGGTGTTATAGTATACAGGGTGATAAATAATTTAAAAACAATATTTTTGAAGTTAATTCTTTTAACTTCTAACAATACTTTAATTTAATAGCAAGAAAATGTAAGAGTTACATCCTTATATTAATTAAAATAAATATTTTGAATTATTTTTAGGATTACAGAAACAGTTAATTTTGTAAACAAATTCAAAAGACCCTGATATACCAGCGGACACCTGTAGGTACGCGTTGGATTTTGGGCGAGCCAGGCTTCCTATTCGGTGCCCCCGGTCCCGAGTGATTATCATAAAATAGATGTAAGTATAAAAATATTTCAAACTTAAAAAACTTATAAACATATTTAGGGTGCCTCAT